GAATCATAAGGAACCCTAAGGAATCGAAGTACTTCTGAAGAAGAAAGAAATACTTCTGAAGAAGAAAGTACTTCTGAATAAGAAAGAAGTACTTCTGAAGATCCCATGGTTGTAATTGGTCCCATGTATGGTTGCAATTCGCTCCGAACGGTTGGAATTGGGACCAGTCGGTTGCAATTCGTCCCATTTCGGGGGGAGGGGCGGGGGGAGGAGGAGGGAGGGGGGTTTTGGGAGAGAGGGAGTGGGGGGGAGGGGAGAGAGGCAGGCCGGAGAAACGCGAGGAGCCACAACCACAGATGGCCCCTCCTCCTCCTCCTCCTCCTCCTCCTCCTCCCTCCTCCTCCTCCTCCTCCTCCTCCTCCTCCTCCTCCTCCTCCTCCTCCTCCTCCTCCTCCTCCTCCGCCTCCTCGCGATCCGTCTGGCCCCTATGGGCCGCCAGGTATAGCAGAAAACCGAAACCCCGACACAAACTGAATCCATAGTTTCTCTGATCTAGCGTAACTCTTGCGTGTAGCCGGCTTTCGCCTGGGCGGGCGCCCCCGGGCGGCACGAAAACCACCACCAGAGCCCTGGATCTCATTTTTCTGCGTCATTTTTCACGCCGGGTCGATCTGTGAGGGTCCAAGGGCCCGAAATTGGGCGAAAACGCCCGGTGCGACAAAAAAATACAACGCCAGCATCTCAGGGAACGGCTGCCCGCCGCCCGCGCCCGCCCCTGGGCCGCCCCGACCAGCGCGACCGGCGTGCCCCCAGGGCCCCCGGGGGCCGCCACCGCGGGGGCCCAGACGCCCAGCACTTGGAACAGAAGAACACAGCGGCGAGTTACGGCGACAAGCACGACGAGCACAAGCACGGCCACGAGAATGCCTCCAAGGGCCCCAGGGAGCCTCTCGGAGGCCCCCATTTCCGCGATCGCCCCTACCTTTAGATCGGGCGTGGCCCTCTACAGTAGGAATACTCGCGAATAGCAGCAACAACTTGGTGACAGTTGTTCGTGCTCTTCTGACAATGCTTGATTATGTTTGACTGTGTTTAATTTTTCTTGCGAAATCCGCATGTAGGAGGACATGCCCGACCCAACCCTACCCTCGCCGCGGGCGCCCCACCCGCCGCGCGCCGCCAGAGGTGGGCTGCTGCTGGTACGACTCCAACTGCTTCAACGCCCACGAGCTGGCGCCCAGGCCAGGATGCTCTTCCTCGACACTCCTCCTCGACCCTGCTCCGCGACCCTGCTCCTCGGCCCCCTCCTCTTCTTCCTCCTCCTCCTCCTCCTCCTCCTCCTCCTCCTCCCTCCACCGCCCCCTCCTCTTCTTCACAGTCCTCCGAAAGCCAGCCAGCGTGACGAGCTGGGAAAAGTCAGAGAGAGGGCACCGCTGGGTTTGATTGGCAGGTCGGCCTTTGCAAATCAAGGGTGCCCTTGTGTCCTGTGTGTGGCGCCACATGTATGCTGCACTCCAGGGGCAGAGGTACCCTGGTTTAGAGGACGTGCTGTCCTTGGAAGAGTATTGTGTCCTCTCGCGTATCCTTCCTAATCAAACCCGGTTGCATTCACGAACGTAAGATCACGAGAACCGTATGCTAGACTGCCCCACGAGTTGGGCATCGCGCGCTACCGCCACAGCAAACACGAACAGATCGTTGACCACGACGCCGACGGAACCAGACCTGAGCACCAGGAGGATCGCGAACATAACCCGCAGCCAATGGCGCTTCCCGGGGGAAGGGGGGGGGAGTCCCCCGGAAGTCCTCGGGAGGTCGATGCCTCCAGGGGCCCAATGCGCCCACACGGGGTCCGAGCAGATGGGGTCGAAGAATCGCGCCGCATCGCCGATGCGTCGGCGATGTGGAGCCCGCTGTTCTCCACCCCGACGTCGGACCCCCTCTTGGCCGCCTCCTGGGGCCCAAGCAGGGCCGAAGGCGCCCAAAAGTTTGGATCCCCCCAGGCATCCGACGGATTTTGCGGTCTCAACCCAATCCCCCAGGGATTGTTTTTTCGTCCCTCGATGGCCCAGGGATCGGGGTGCCCGAGCGACGGCGGGGCCCGCTCCTTGCGCGTCCCGGCCCGCCCGAGGGACTCGGGCCACAAGACGGCACTCTGCGCCGACTTCGCGACCTCCGGCCACTGCGCCCAGGGCGCCGCCTGCCGGGGGGCGCACGGCCAGCAGGAGCTCCCGGGAGTTTTTCAGACGGGGGTCACCTGGCATCGCTCGGACATGTGCGTTTTTTTCTCGGCGAGGGCCATCGTGGAACATCCTGGATCAGCTTGCGAAAAGCGCACGCACGAAACCGAAAAGCAGGGGGAATGGACGTCCGACCGATGGCGAGGTCAATGCAGACGGGGTTCGGGCAGAAGGCCCCATCTAGCAGGATCCTGCAGATCGAGCGGGTGTCGACTACACGTGAGAGTGGCCCGTCGCAGGAGTGAGCTCCCGGGCCCCCCCGATCGCTGAGCGCGATGCGATAGCAGCGGCCTGCGCGCTTGCGTTTGGCCCCCTCGAGCCCTGCAGAAGCCGCGCACCAAAGGTCACTCTTACGCAGGGTCACTCTTGCGTCTAGCCGGGCAGAGCCAGGGGGGCACGGACCCGGGCTGGTGCGCAGGATCCTGCAGGTTCTTGCCGGATCCTGCAGGGCCTGACTGGCCCGGGTCTGCATGGACCTTGGTCGGTGCCTCCCCGACAGGAGCTGCGCGCCCCGCTGGCTTTCCGCGAGATGGTCGGCTTCGGGTACAAGGCGGCTCCTGCAGGGCCCACTTCGATCCGATCGGTGCGATTCGATGCCAAGCTCGCCCAATCCGATCCGATCCGATCTGGTTCTGGCTTCTTGTTGTTTCGATGTGTTCCGATGCTTTTGCGTCGCTGTTGTGCATCCTCGCGCAGCCGAGCCGATTCGATTCCGATTCCGTACCCATGGGGACCAATCCGACACATGTTCCGATTCGACCCGATTTCCCGACTCGATGGTGATTGCTCCTGCCCCTGCCAGTGGGGCACACCCCAGGGGCAGCGTCAGGGGGCATTGGCTCGGGGGTAACGCTAGGTGGGAAAAAGTGTCGATAGGTGTTGGGTCGTCTTTGTCTGTTCTCGGCCTCTCCAGCGGCCGCGCCTCGCCGAGAGCGTTCCAGGAGTGCCCAGATCGTCCACAACGGCCTCCGGAGAGCCGGGTTACGATCCGACAACCTCCGACGACCTGGTTTCTCGGCCTGGGCGCTTTCCGTGATTTCTGCCCCTGGGGGCCACTTTCGGGCCCCAGGACCATCAAGCATGAGTCATGGAGGCAGACTTACCTCCGGGGAAAGGGCCGCGGGCTGAAAGAGCACATCGGAGGACGTCTGGGCCTCAGAGGGGCAGCGTAACGGGTGGATAGGGTCCGGGGTGAATGCGTCGACCCCCAATCGCCGATTCATCGCCACATGTGGGCCCGATGGCGCACCCCGCCCAGGGGCGTGCGGATTCGCCACTGGGGGCGCATCTCCGATCAATCGGCTCTGCATCGCCGATCCCGGCTCGATGTGTCACCCCCTGAGCTTGGCATCGCTGGGACGTGTGCATTTTTCCTCAGGCGAGGACCATCGAGGAGCATCCTTGATCATTTGGCGAAAAAACCGCGCACGAAACCGAAAAACACAGGGAGGCGGTTCCCCCCTCATCGTTCCCCCCTCGCACCTGTGCACCGCCACCGGGGCCTGGCCACGGCCGTCGCCCCTCAGAATCGCGGCGTCGGAGAAAAACAAACAAAAAAAAACTGTGGCGGATCGCCGTTCGCCGCCCTCGGCGGCCAGAAGACGCTTCTCGGTCCCAAGGCTGTCCGGAAACAGCTCGAGTCGAGAGGACAAAAACCCGAAGAGACGAACGGCCTTGGGGAAACAGTCGAGACCCTCGGGGGAGCACGTCGTGACAAGAGCGCAACGTCGGAGGAGAGGGCGTTGGGCCCCGCGATGGCGGGAGAGGCCCTCCTGGCCCAGGTGGAACATCACATGTGTTGTTTTATTGTAGCGGGTAGCCATACAAAAAAAAAAAACGCGTGTGAGGTAGCCATGATAAAGCGTGTGATGTTCCACCTTGGGGAAGTGGTCGAGAGATCCTCGGGGGAGCAGGCCGCTGCAAGAGTGCAAAGCGTCAGAGGAGAGGGCTGGGCCGTAGGCGGGAGCATAGTACACGGGGGGCATCTGGGAAAGCCTAAGCCCCCTCTTAGCTACGCCCCCGCTTACGAAGCCCGAGGGAAAAATGGTCCAGAGATCCTCGGGGGAGCATGCCTCGGCAAGAGGGCAGAGCGTCGGAGGAGAGGGCGGTGGGCCCCGCGCGATGGCTTGAGAGAGGCTCCCTCCTGGCCTCGGGGGGGGGGGGGGCCGTGGCCCAAAGCCCCGGCGGTGGTGCACGGGAAGCATTCTGCGCAGTGGAGGCGTCCCTGTGCACCCTCTACGTGGCGCCCGGCCTGGAGTGCGAGGAATCTTGGCCGCCGCTTCTCTGGGCCTCTCAGACGGGGTCAGAGCTGATGGGGTCGGGAGATCGCGCCGCATCGCCGATGCATCGGGGATACGGGCCGATCTGGAGCCCGATCTTCTTCGCGCGGACGACGCCGCTGCATCGCCTCGTCGCCCATGCATCGTTGATGCACCGACGATGCATCGCCGATGCGACGAGATCCTCCGACCCCAGTTGCTCCGACCCCATCTGGGAGGCCTCTAGCTTGGGGGGAACAAGAGACGAGGGTCAGTACAATGGGGGTCAGACCGGGCGCCGGATTTTGCAGGATCTTGCAGAGCCAGGGTTGCATTGACCAGGTCTTCGGTGCAGGATCCTGCAGGATCTTGCAAGATCCAGCACAGCCCGACTGACCCAGGTTTGCATTGACCCGGGTCAGTGCGTCCCCGAATATTGGCCACCGTTGTTGTCGCCGTCCCTCAAGCGGGTGCGGAGTTGATGGGGTCGGCTGATCGCGCCGCATCGCCGATGCATTGTTGGTGTAGTTGTCGACGCAGTGCGATCATGTGACCCGGCTTGCTCCTCATCCTCGGTGTCGTTGCTGCCGTCGTCATCTGTCGTCGTCGTCGCTTGTCGTCCCTCGTCCCACCCCCACCCACCTCCTCCTCCTCCTCCTCCTCCTCCTCCTCCTCCTCCTCCTCCTCCCCCTCCTCCTCCTTCTCCTCCTCCTCTTCCTCCCTGAGAACCTTGACGACAACTCCTCCCTCCCAGACAGCGAGGTGCCAGAGTTGGAGGGCGAGGGCAGTGATCAGGAAATGGACACTATCCCAGGGCCCGATCAGCACAACGACGCCACGTCCATGGTCCAGATGAGTGCGACGGTGCAGTGGGCGGCGCAGTTCACCAAGCCGTCAGGGCCAGACCTGATGAAATACACGCAGGAGGCCAAAGAAGCAGGCATGCAGCATCCGAGGCTCCGCCAGCACCAAGGTGACGACGACCAGGACCCAGAGCTAGAGCTGGCCTAGCTCGAAAGGAACCGACTGGAACAGCTTATGCAGTCTCTGGCGGGATGCTGGATCCAACAGGCAGGCGAGCAGGGCTGGCTGTCATGGCAGGCGTCATGCGTTCCCCATGTCCTCAAGGCGCTGCAGACGGGCAACCACCAGCGGCTCTTCAGTGACATCCCAGGCCCAAGCCGCTTGCGCAGCCAGCGCAGAGTGGCAGAGGAGATCTGTCGCTTGGCCTGGCTCAACAGCGGCGCAGCACGAAGGCAAATCCAGCTGCAGGACCCGCACGAGGCAGAGAAACGCAGGAAGATGGCTGAAAAGATCCTGGGAGTAGCGCCACCCGAAGACGACCACGACGAAGAAGGAGCAGGACCCCAGCGCGGCGAGGGGTTAGGCCGCACCGCACCCCAGCGTGGCGAGGGGTTAGGCCACTGCGGTCCCCAGCGCGGCGAGGGGTCAGGCCACAGCGGACCCCAGCGCGGCGAGGGGTTAAGCCACCATGGACCCCAGCGCGGTGAGGGGTTAGACCGCAGCGGCCCCCTGCGCGGCGAGGGGTTAGGCCACGGAGTACCCCAGCGCGGTGAGGGGTTAGACCGCAGTGGGCCCCAGCGCGGCGAGGGGTTCGGCCACCAAGAACCCCAGCGCGGCGAGGGGTTAGGCCGCAGCGGCCCCCAGCGCGGCGAGGGGTTAGGCCACCGCGGCGCACGTCAGAGGCAGGCGAGCAGAACGCCAGCACGCAGGGTGTCAGCCTGGAAGCCGAGCGGGGGCCCAGAGCCCATGGCAGCCAGCCGCCCTGCGGGGGTGCGCAACGAGACGCCCGAGCAGTCCCACGGGCCCAGGGAGCCGCAGCACGAGCGGTCCCTGGAGGAGCGACGAGCGGAGGAGCGGCAGCGGCCGTCCATCAGGCTGCTCCTCGAGCTCTGAGCTAGCGGCGAGCAGCGCTGACCACAAGTCTGCCGCCGCCCGATGGGAGCAGCGACTCGGGGAGTCAGCCGCGACGGGCGAGGCAAAGAGGGTGCGTACTGAGGCCGAGGGCCCACCCAGCCACGGGCGAGCGCGGAGCGAGCCTGGCCTGGGTGCCGAGACCCCTGGCACCCATGCGCACGCCTGAGCACGCGGGATTAAATTCCTCCTCCTCCTCCTCCTCCTCCTCCTCCTCCTCCTCTTCCTTCTCCTCCTCCTCCTCCCCCTCCTCCTCCTCCTCCTCCTGCTCCTCCTTCTCCTCCTCCTCCTCCTCCTCCTCCTCCTCCTCCTCCCTCCTCCTCCTGCTCCTCCTCCCTCCTCCTCGTCATCAGCATCATCATCAGCAGCAGCATCAGCATCAGCACCAGCATCAGCGCCATCATCCTCATCATCAGTATCATCCCCGCCTTCATCCTCATCCTCATCCCCATCCTCCCCCCCTCCCCCTTCCTCCCTCCCCCCTCCCCCCCCCCGAGGACGACAACTGCTTCGACGCCCACGGGCCCTTCGACCTGCGCCGCCGCCCCCTCATCGGGCCAGGCCGGGAGGGCCGCGCCACCTCCCCTGCCAGCGGGCATTTTCCCCCGCCCCCCCACCCCACCCCTTCTCGGCACATGTCTCGTCCCGTCCTCGCCCTCCCTCGCCTTCCTCCATGCCCTTCTGTCGCCCGCCCGCCCTCCCTTCCCCCCCCCCACCGCCATCCATCCGCCCCCATTCGCCCTCCTCGTTCCCGCCGCCCTCGCCCCCACCACCGCTCTTTCGCTCCCCTTCATCGTCCCCATCCTCCCCGTCTCCTTCCTCGTCCTCGGCCTCCGGCCTCCGCCTCCCCCCCTCCCCCTCCCCGCATCTTACTCCCTACGCTTCGTCCTCCTCCTCCCTCCCCCTCCTCCCTCCTCCCCTCCCCCCCCTCCTCCTCCCCTCCTCCTCCTCCTCCTCCTCCTCCTCCTCCTCCTCCTCCTCCTCCTCCTCCTCCTCCTCCTCTTCGTCCTCCCCCCTCCTCCTTCTCCTCATCCTCCCTCCTCTCCTCCTCCTCCCCTCCTCCTCCTCCTCCTCCTCCTCCTCCTCCTCCCCTCCTCCTCCTCCTTTTCCTCCTCCTCGTCCTCCTCCTCCTCCTCTTCTTCTTCCTTCTCCTCCCTCCCCCCTCCCTCCTCCCCCTCCTCCTCCTCCTCCTCCTCCTCCTCCTCCTCCTCCTCTCTCCTCCTCCTCCTCCTCGTCCTCCCCCCTCCTCCTTCTCCTCATCCTCCCTCCTCTTCCTCCTCCTCCCCCTCCTCCTCCTCCTCCTCCTCCTCCTCCCCCTCCTCCTCCTCCTCTCCTCCTCCTCCTCCTCCTCCCCTCCTCCTCCTCCATCCCTCCTTCTCCTCCTCCCTCCTCTTCCTCCTCCTCCTCCTCCTCCTCCTCCTCCTCCTCCCCTCCTCCTCCTCCTTTCCTCCTCCTCTCCCTCCTCCTCCTCCTCCTCCTCCTCCTCTCTTCTTCTCCCCTCCCTCCCCCTCCCTCCTCCTCCGTTCTCCTCCTCCCTCCTCCTTTCCTTTTTCATCCTCCTCCTCCTCCTCCTCCTCCTCCTCCTCCTCCTCCTCTTCCATCTCCTCCTCCACCTCCTCCTCATCATCCTCCTTTCCTTGTCCTTGTGAATGAGTCCTCCCTGTCGCACCCCGAGGCCAGTCGGAAGGGCTGTCCGGGCGTTTCGCCTGAGTGTTCTTTACCATGTATCAGCCTCAAGCTTAAGAACCGACAACAACTTCGCAGATGGAAGGTGGGTTGTTTCCACAAATGTAGTTCTCGCCGTAGCGCCGCGCACATTCGCTTCAAACATGTATCAGAGTTTCACGGATTGAGGGCGGCTCATGTTCAAAAGGTGGTTCTCGCGCACGTTCGTTTGTTGTAAAGTTCACAAGAGCTTCACGGATTGAGGGCGACTCGTTTTCAAAATGTGGTTCGTTCTCGCCTCAGCACCGCGCACATAGAATTGCAGATCGCTTCATTGTGCGAGGGCAGTTCTTCTTTCAAAATGTTGTTCTCGTTTGAGCACCGCGCACACTCGTTTTATCAGACGTCGGGCAGGGAAGCGCGCCAGAGTTTTCTACCAATGAGATTCGAGAGGCAATCCGGCAACGCAAAGGAAATGGCCGCGCAGATAGACAAGGCGTCGTTAGAGAAATGCTCATGGAAGGTGGCGACGTGTTGGCTGAGGCATCACACACACTGCACGACGACATTTTTCGCCCAAACGCTCAGCCGCCGCAGCGTTGGAGACAATCTGAGACTGCAGTCATTTTGAAAGCTGGGGGCGAAAGACTTGCCAACAGTTGTAGGCCTACAGCAAGTATTCCTGCGCTGTGCAAGCTTTTCTCCAGGCTGCTACCAACGGACTCTCACCAATTCTGGACGCCGGCCAGAGTCCTAACCAGGCCGCCTTTCGCCGCGGTTCTAATATGGAAGACCATCTGTTCACATCGCATCAAATCCAGGAGCAGTCCGAAGAATTCCAGATCCCGTTGTGGCGTAGTTACTGCAATCGACTTTCAAAAAGCATTTGCCACCGTAGAACAAGCACAATGGAACGCCATGGCGAAGCAGGGAACGCCGATTCCGCACATGCGCTTGATGTCCAAATTATGCAGTGGACAACGAGGGCGGATAGGGACAGACGCGACCAGCCGGCAGTTCGACGTCTCCAGGGGGACCAAGCAGGGGGGCCCGTTGAGAAAGATACTCTTCAACGCGCTTGAAGACACCTTCAAGGAGGGGCCAAAGAGGAGTGGCACAACCGGACATACAGGCTCCAATTAAGATATTCACAGAAATGAGCCGATTGACAAGCATGGGGTTCACGGATGACGTCTTCTTCGTCGGACAGTTGGCAGCAGATAGTTCGAATGGTTGCAGCCGCGCGGAGCTCGGCTGCCTCCGCGGGGCTTCTGCTGCACCCGGATAAGACAAAGACCTTTACCAATACTTGCGAGGGGACAGGAAGAGGTAAGAGAACACACGCTACAGTTGATGAGATGCAGATCGAGATCGCTCCTGTCGGCGTCGCTGCGAAGTAGCTTGGAAGGCAGGTCGCATGTCTGAACCCAGCGGGCACGGAGATCGATCGCAGAACGCGCCAGGGCTGGAGAGCCTTCACGGCGAACAAGCAAGAGTGGACCGGCAAGAAATAGTCGTTGAAATGCCAGCTGCGCCCGTTCGAGAGCGCAGTCCCCCCGACTGTACGACACGGCGTTTCCAGCTGGATTCTTTTCGGCCGCGCAACAGAAATTTAGAACAACGCAACGACGAATGTTCCGGATGACGTTTGGCATCGGAAGAAGACGCACGAAACAGATTGATCAGTCAGACAAAGATGGCACATCTTCTTCGTCAGCGCCCACGGCTGGGAACGACGAAGTGGAGGAGGCGCATTCTGATATTCAAGAGAATTGGGTTGATTGCATCGTACGAGCTACAAGTATTGCGGACAACCATCGACAGCTAGCGCGTAGCGTGGAGGCGCCAAGTCTGGCGGGGGAGAGTTGCCGCTATGCCTGCAGGTCGATGGGCGCAGAAAGCTGCCGCCTGGCGTGCGGCAGACGACCCCCGATCACGAGGTCGCCAACAACGCCGGCCAAAAAGGAGGCGGGCAGACGAAACCGCGCAGTTCCTGGGGCATGCTGACCACGACGTGGACATCACGAACTGGATGGAAAACTCTGCAGGTACATCTTTCTGGGGGCGACTTGGAGGATGAATTCTGCTGTCGCGCTGGCGGAGAACACGTTCTCGGAACGCTGCGCCGGAGTCGCGCGCCGGAGTCGAACCTCATCAAGTGAGGGGCTGCGGCCCCAGCGCGCCGCCCTCGTGGGCCGGACCTCCGGGTCCGGTAGCTGCGCGTCCGTCCGTCCGTCCGTTGCGTTGGATCCCGCACAATTGGGACGCTGACGGCGCTGGTGTCGCGCAAGACCAGGCTGGGCCCCCCCACGTTGGCATCAAGTAGGCGCTGGTAACGCCCCACGCGCAGAGGGTGGCAAATAGTGTGTGATCGGTGGGATCCCCGCACCCCGGTGTCAAGCAGGCGCCAGGTTGGCACATCGCAATTGGTCGGTACGACTCGTAGAGAACAGATTAGGATGGGATTGCAGGAGGGTCCTCCGCCTCCTGCAGGTTCCCAATGCGCCTCGTAGATGATACTGTTGGCTGGAATTGGCCAGGCGCCCCCCCCACCTTCAGGAGCTCGATGCGCCCGTGCACGACATCTGTGGCTAGGACTGCCCAGGGTTCTCCGCCTTGTGCTACAGGTGTTGGACACGCTTCGTAGATACTTTGGACAGGCCCGGTGAAGTTCGTCGGTCTTTACCACGGCTTGGCTTGAGCCTCAAAGGGGGATTCGGATTTTGCCCCTCCTTGGTCACCAGTGCCATAGTATCGAAGAAAAGTGAACGTGGAGCAAGGCGCGTTAGCGACGAGTCCCTTTTCCATGCCAAATCCGCGCGCTCCGTCGCCAAATCAGGCGGCACTGGCCCTATGTTTCGGAGGCTACGTTCCCCGATCAATGTTAGCGCGCGCCCGACATTGGACATTAGGTTCATGCAGTGTCCCATGCTAGGCAGGACGTGGTGGGGGGATTAAGCCAGCGGCGCCACCTGGAAAGCGCCCAGCGTTCGACCGGTTTTCCCAGCGAGTGGCTTGACCTCGAGTGTCGACCACGAGGCGACCACCGCGTTGTCCCTGTCGATATGGTCGATCCGTTTCGATATTGTATCCGATTCGATTCCGAAATTCCGACGAACCGACGCGGCCCGAATTTTGCACGGCCCGATCCCGCACATTCTGGTCGAATCCGAATTCACGATATCCTGCGTCTGAACGGACGCCCGCCAGTTAGGATGCAGCTCTTGGGAAATTCAGTTCAGCGTCGGCGCTGGTATATCCGTGGTCACAAGCCGACCTAATCCCGAACTGTCCCGCTCAATCTGGCCTAATCCGGTTTCATGTGGGTTAGTCTGTCTGAATGGCCCCTGCATCGGGCTCAAAAGGCGTCTCAGACTTCCCACGAGTTGCCTCCCAGCACCGCCCCCAACCGTCAGCGGCGCTGCGGGGCGCCCAACGGCTGGTCCCGTTCGGCGACGCGCACGTGCACCTGGACCACGTCCTTTTGCCCCCGGGCTTCTGCTTGCGGCGCGTCGGAAACGTTTCAGGGGGGCGCGCGGGGCTCGAGTTCGGCAGGCGGGAGCAGAAACAGAGCGAGGTAGAGGAGAAGGAGGAGAGGGAGGAGGAGAGACAAGGAGAAGAAGAGGGAGGAGAAGGGGGAAGGAGGAGGAGGAGGAGGAGGAGGAGGAGGAGGAGGAGGAGGAGGAGGGGGACGGAGAGGGAGAGGGGCAGGAAGAGAAGGATCCCGAGGAGGAAGGCGAGACGAGGGCGACGACGATGACGATAACGAGGTCGAGGACCAGGGGGAAGAATGATGAGGACAAGAATGAGGAAGGGGAAGAGGGAAGAGGAAAGGGATGGGGAGAGGCGGAGCGAGAAGGGCATCGAGGTTTTGAGAGCGTCTGGGGCTTCTTCTTTTTTGTTGGGGGGGGGGGCGGCCTGAGGAGGCCTCCCGAGACCGCGGGAGACCTCCGAGGAGGCAGAGGAGGTGCAGGCGCAGGCGGCGGTGAAGCAGCCAGGCAGCCAGGCAGGCACCCACCACCAGCCTGAGACATGCCCTTACAGTGGACTCCCGTGCCAAGGAACACCCTGCTTGTCTCCAGGGTGTCCAGGGCTTCTTGGGTTTCGATGGCTCTGCGCTGGAAAGCGTGACGTTCCCACACCAAAAATCGATGGACGTCGTGGGGTCTCAGGATTGGGTTTCTTGCGGGAGGTTTTTTGTGGTCGAGCTCCTACTGTATCTTGCGACCGTTTCATTGTTTTGCCGCTCGGCCCGGGCCCTCGCCCCCCCCCCCCGGTGGAGCAGATCTTGGCTGTTGTTTGCGCCCGTTTCAAGCAGGCGGAGTCCCTCCCCAATAGGACGCACTGTTGCAATCAGTCGCATTGAGCAGAGGTCCGGCCGGAGACAGAGCCCCCCTTTTCCCCCCTTTCCGCCCAATGGCGAAACGCTGAATGAGAAAACGTTCACCAGACAAACACTCATCACCAGCCTGAAACATGCCCTGATCTTGGGAATCAAGAAAGTCTGTGGTCAGCCTTCGGGTCGGTCGAGTCCGGTCAGTGCTCGGGCGTACGCCGTGGCACTCAAGCAACTCCCTTGGAGCCCAGCGCTGACTTGACTGTTTGTCGATTCCCTATTATGAACCGCAACACCTTATCCCGGTGCCGATATTGATTTCTGAAGGCGCATGCCTATCGTGGTTGTCCGTACTACGGATACGAATGAGCTCGAGGCTGGCTGACTCCCGAAATGACCCTCGTCCTGTGAATTGAGTACCAAGTCGAAGCACAGCGGGCCGCGGCTGCCAGCCGCGCGACCCGTGCGCGGCTGGCTGCCACGTGGATTTCCCGTGGTGACTCCAGCAACCTGCTGCATGGGCCCACCTCCGGCCCCAGACCCAGGGGCGTCCCGATCTCGGCAGCCGCTCTGGACCCTTTTCGGGCCCCGGGGGCCGGCCCTGGAGATGGGGTCAGACCAGTCCCGACGATGGGGCCCAGAATTCTGGGAGCCCACATCGGAAGTCTGGGGAGGAGGAAGAGGATCGGCGGCGGGCGAGGGGGGGAAAGTGAGAAGGAGAAGGCCTTCTGAGAAGGCCGTGGGGCTTCTCAGAAGCCCCCTGGCCTTCGGAGAAGTTTTCTGTGCCTCCGGGGAAGGCTCAGGAAACATCTCGGAAGGCCAGGGGACTTCCGAGCTTTTTGACAGGGCCTGCTCCTTCACACTTCCCCCTTCGGGCTCGCCGCCGAGGTCATGTTTCGGCGTATCAGTGGCCAAGCACATACGGGGCGCGCCAGAGCCGTCTTGGTGGCGTCGACGCGGCGTCGGCGCCACCGAGGGGAGATGGAGCACAGAGGATGAGGAGGAGGATTTGTGCTGGCCACCGTCGGGCGGCACTGCGGGCAGGCGGTGCCGCCCTCCTCCCGGGCCCGCGAGTGCGCGTCGCCGTGGGCTCCACGTCCCAAGCGTGTGAGTCGGACCGCTGGCCGCAGGCAAGAGACCCACATCGGGCGGAGGCGGCGAACTCGCGGCCCAGCACGAGCAGAGGCCGCAGAGGAGGCGCCCGAAGGCCTCCCCCTCGGCGCGCCGCCGCCCTGGGAGGCAGGGCAGCCAGGGGCGGTGCGGAGCAGCGCCCCCCGGCGAGCCAGGTCGCGGGCCTACGGCTCGTGCTGGTTCTACAAGCGGACCTCCTGCCAGCCGCTCGGGCCGGCCGCGGCGGGCGACGGACGGCGACGGCCTGGCGGCGCCCGGTCAGGACGCTGAAGGGGCCCTGCATAGGGGCCAAGAGGGGGCTTTCGGGGCCCCCGGAAGTGCACTTGTCTCCCCCCTCAGTGATCGTCCCCCCATGAAGGGACGCCCAAACGGCCTGGATGCCTCTCTGTATGGCTGCCGGGCGGGAGAGGGCCGCGCCAGGGGAGAAGCGGGTCCTGAGGGAAACGGGTCCTGAGGTTTCTCGCCGTCTTCGGGCTCTCGGAGCCCTCCTGGGGCCCTGGGACTGCCAGACAACGGCTCAGGATGAACAACTCGTCCCGTTTTCCTCAGGACCCGATTCCCTATGTTAATCGGGTTTTCGGGCCGTTCCTGACATAGATTGATGTCGTGGAACCTGTTTGTGGCCTAGCCCCACCGCGGCCAGAAAAGCCTTTCAGTTCCTCATCTCGCGTTCCTTTGTAGCACGATGACTGCACTAAACAGGCGGAAAGACTTTTCAGAAGGCAAGAACCGTCTTGGAATCGGGAGGCTTCTTCGAAGCCGGGCGGGCTTCTAAGAAGCCCTTCTCCTGCCTTCTTAGAAGCCCCGCGGCCTATTCAGAAGGCCGCCCCCCTTGCGTCCTTGCGCCACATCCTTCTGGGCGCCGCCAGCCGGCGGAGACGGCGACGACGCCGTCGAGCCTTCGGCCAGCGCCTGCTGCCAGGAGCAGGCGGCTCAGCAGCTCAGCAGCAGCAGCGCGGTGCGGCTTCGACCGCCCGCACTCCACGAGCCCGATCCGATTCCATCCTCTTCTGGGCGCGTTCGGGTGGGCTTCGGAGATGTTGGCCGGGATTCCGGGAACGCTATTCGGTTACGAGGCGGCTCATGGTGTCCAGGAGGAGAAGGAGGAGGGGAGGAGGAGCAGGAGGAGGAGAAGGGGAAGAGCAGGACGGAAGGAGGAGGAGGAGGAGGAGGAGGAGGAGGAGGGGGATGTCCCAGGGCCCCTCGTCCCCCGCCCCCATCCTCCTCCGTACTCCTTCTGCCGCCGTATTCCCTTCCCGCCCTATTGTAATGGCCTCCGGCCGGTGCCGCCGATCCATGGGGCTCCAGATTCGGTCGGTGATCTTCGCGGCTTTGTGGCCTCCTCCCTCCTCGATTCTTCCGGGCCTCTTCCTTCTCCTTTGGGGGGGGGCCTGGAGCGGTCCTGGGGGTGTCCAGGGAGGGTTCCGAAGGCAGGGTCCTGGGGGCGGTAGCGGCTAGATCTGAGGGATGCGCAAAGCATTCAGAAAACGCCAGATGGGGGACCGCCCCCCCCCTCCCTCCCTTCCCTGGGGGGGGTCGGATGCGCAAATCATGAAGAAAACGCCAGATGAAGCCCGGCAGAGCCACCCCGGCGCCCCCCCCCCCCAAAGCAGAGCTGAATCTCTTGCTTAGGCTCAGAGCTGAAGCTCTTGCTGAGGCTCCTTGTAGTTCACACGCCGGATCGGCGGATTCCCTCCTTCCCGCCTTGCACGTCGAGCAACACCTTGCGCGGCACTCGGCCGGCCCCACGCCTCCACATCAGCGACGCAACAAAAAACGGGGTCGTGTGCGCCCACGTTGGCGCGTAAGCTGCCCGCGTAAGGTCGCGCGTGAGCGCACTCGTCTCTAGCGTGGCACGCCGCACTGGCGGCCCGCGTAGCACGCCGCGGAAGGTCGCCATGCCATTTCGCACAATACCCGTCTTTGGAGCGTCGCTCACGCGGTGCGCGGGCTCTGCCGAGCCTCCCCCGCGCAGTAACATCGCGCAGGCGCTCGTGGCAACGAAAGCAGCATTGCATCGATCGAACGTGTGCATTTTTTCTCGGCGGGGACCGTCGAGGAGCATCTTGGGTCATCGAGCCAAACATGCACACACGATACCGAAAAATGCATAGGTAATAGACGTCCGAGCGACCGCAGGGCGGAGGTGTTCCGCCCCTGGGGCCCACACCTGGGGCGTCAGACCCATTGGTGGGACGACGTGCTGAGTTCAGAGCCGGAGGATGCGAAGTCCGCAAGGATTAAGTCCGTACGGAGGGTTCGGTCTCCGTCTGGGCTTCCGCCGTCCGGGTTTAGCTTCTCCTGATAGGATGCTAAGTCCGCACGGAGCAAGTCCGCACGGGGTATTCGGTCTCCGTCCAGATTTGCTCCGTCCTGACTCAGCCCTGCCTGACAGAGGGTGGCAAATGCCACAGATGCGGCCCGCGCACCCGGCATGTCATCAAGCCGCAGCGTGGCAGGGGGGGCACGCGGGTCACAGCCTCGCGCGGTGCCGCGCGGCTCCAGGCTCGCCGAAACGACGCCGACCGCGGCCACGCGCGGCGGTTGGACACGGGAAAAGTTTGATGTTGCGATTCGCCTCGCTGCTGGCGCCGCAGAAGGGCCGCAGGAACGACGACGCATGGGGCTTGTGGCCTTGCTGGGCCAGCCACCGACCCGAGGCCCGCAGCGACTGGGGCGAATTCACCCCCTGCCGCGTTGACCAAGGACGGTGCCGACGTTCGCAATTGGTTGCGCGGGCACGTTCTGACGCATTGTGCACGGACTCCGTCCCCAGCTGCCCCCTGAGGTCGGGCGTCGCGACGAAAATGCCACACCGAGCAAAAGCACGACTGGACCCGACCACAGCGCGGGCTCCGCAGGTTGAGGCCCCTGTGCGTGCGGGATCTCGAGCGGCTCCACCACACGCGCAAAGACCCCCATGCAGCGCGCCAAGGATGGCATAATCGCCAGCACGAGAACTGCTCTGGATGATTGGGCAGCTCTTGAGTGAAATTCGATCGTCTGCGGGGGAGGCTGATCGGACACAGGCCCCTGAGCGGATACCGATTGATAACACCATAGCAGATGCGTTGGCCGAGGGCGCTGCGGAGCGGCACAGCGTTAACTTGCACGCGAGACCAAAATGCCTGATGTGGAACGTCGCACTGGACTCATCCGACTGCGATTGCTTCGAGATGCGCTCGGGGCATTTGCTGTAGAGAATGAAGCTGAGCGCGAATACAGAAATGCCGAACGCCACGCCGTGCCTAAGGCCGATGATACTGCTCCGTCCCCCCCCCCTCCACCGCCATCGCCTGGTAATGCCTATGGCCAGATTCGCACTATTATCATGTCGCTTACGTTGATTATAGTGTCCAGCATAAACCTAACGGAGAAGGCTTCACATTAATGGGGGGTGGGGTGGGCACACGAGTAGCAGAACGTAAGGCACCATCACGTTCTTGGTGCCTGGTTATGTGGGTCGCGCGATTCCTGTAGTTCTGATACTATTTGGGATGATCGTCGCCCTGGAATCGCTTAGCGATTCGGGGGTGCAGGGGAATACTAGGACCATTATGTGCTAAACGTTTCCTGGTCTCCTGGCCTCGGGGTCTCCATCTGTCGGGTTGCAGGTGTCTCCAGTGGATGACAAGTCTCGCGCCCTGGCCATGATAGCTAGCGGTGTCTTTCCTCGTCGGTCTGTTTGTCTGCCTGCCTGCCTGTCTGGCCGGTCTGTCTCGTGCGTCTGTCGCTTGTCTGGCTGTCGTGTCGGTGCTGTCCGTTCACGGCCGCATGTTCGGCCACAGCGGCTTTCCCAGTGGGCCGCGGTGTCCCAGCGGGAAGCAACGAGGCGCTCAGTGGGCCTCGTAATCGCGTGTGGCGCAGTAGGGGAAGTTGATTCTCCCGCCCGAGCACGCCGTTGTTTGCGCTCCGTTGGCGAGGGGCCTGGGGGCCGCGGTACTCTCCCAGGGTGCCCCCTGCCAGCTGCACGCTTAAGAGGTGCCCACGGCCCGTGCGGGAGTGTGGAGGGCTCTCGAGGCCTCCGAAGGACCCGGAGTAGGCGACGAGAGTGTTCTCAGGCAGACGTGGCACAAGCCCCCGGACGACATCATGCGGGTATAGTTGGATCGCGTTGCCAGGGCTTCTTTCTCCTAAGGCTTTGAGTGTTGCCGAGAAGGCAGCCCGTCAACAGTGCACGACCACGTTGTTGATTACATTCCTTCCCGCCTTCCTTCCTTCCCTCCTCACCGTTGGGTTCAGTGGCTGCCTAACTACATCGGAGACTTCCGCGGATCGAGCTATGGTGCTGGATCGAACGTTCGAATTTGTTTGTCGTCGTCGCCGCGCATCCTCTGAGGAGAAGAGAGTGGAGGAAAAAACAAACGAGAATACATAGGACGAGTAGAGGGAGGAGGAGGAGGAGGAGGAGGAAGAGGAGGAGGAGGAGGAGCAGGAGCAGGAGCAGGAGGAGGACGTGACGAAGGAAGAGGAGGGGAGGGAGGGGGGAGAAGGGGGGGGGGAGAGGGAGTGGGAGAGGGAAAAGGAGATGGAGGAGGAGAAGGAGGACGAGGACGAGGGGGAGGAGGAGCGGAGGCAGAAGCGGAGTCGGAGGCGGATGCGGAGGAGGAAGAGGAGGAGGAGGGAAGAGGAGGAAGGAAGGAAAGGAAGGAGGGGGAGGGAGGGAGGAGGAGGACGAGAACGAGGAGGAGGAGGAGGAGAGAGGAGGAGGAGGAGGAGGAGGAGGAGGAAGAGGAGGAGGAGGAGGAAAAGCGAGTAAAAGGAGACGTAGGAGGAGAAGAGGGACCAGGGAGCAGCAGGACGACGACGACGACGACCACGACCACGACCACGACCACGACCACGACGACGACGACGAAGAAAAAGTCGACGAAGACGACGACGAGGCCGTGGCCTCGGGGGTCGAAATCCCCCCGTTTCTCCCCCCCCTCGTGTTCTAGGAAGATGAGGAGGAGGAAGAGGAGGAGGAGGAGGAGGAGGAGGAGGAGGAAGAGGAGAAGATGGTGGTGTACGTGTTGGTCTTCTTCACCCTCAGTATTCCTACAACACGCCACCGATAAACATCGTCATCCGCCTTCGATACCAGCGTTTCTGCAACGCGCAGGTGCGGTCCCTGTTCCTGTCTGTATCCATTACCGTCGCGTCCGTTAACGTGTTGTGCCCTTTTCGCGCGTCACGCTATTGGGTGTGAGAAGCCAACTCTGCTGGGTCGGCGTCTCGCTCGCCGTCGGCCAAGGTCTGCAGCGCCGTGTGATCTAACTCGTGGCGTCCCGTTGCGCACCCTCGCGCTCTAAAAGTTGGTTGCCAGCGTTATGTGCCAAAGTGTTGTGGTTCTTCGGGGTGCGCATCATCGTGGGGCGTTCCCTCTCGTCCTACCCCGACCAATTCGCAGCGTTACCTGGCGTATTCCTGTGCAGTTTGGTTCCCCTCTTGCTGGTGTCTTCGCCATCTGTCAGAGCCTTGGCTTCGCGCACGTTCGGTGCGCCCAGTGGCACGGATGACAACAATTGGTTTGGCCTATACAGCCTTGCTGCCGTACTAGCGTACGTATCTTGCCCCGTGCTTTTCGTTTTCAACCGCGACGTGGTTATCTCAATGGCCTTGCTCTTCTCTAAAGGGTACGAACCAGGTTCGCGCGGCCCGCCTGTATATTGCAAGGGGCATTCATGTCCGAGGAGGGCTTCATCGGGGTGTGTTTCTTCGAGTGCTTCATTGTGGAGTGCTTCATCGTGGCACGCTTCATCGCGGCGAGCTTCACAGTGGAATGCTTCGTCGGGGAGTGAGACGGTATGGGGTACCCCATCGGGGCGTGCTACACCGCGGAGTGCTCCATCGTGGCGTGATTCGCGGAGGCGCGTTTCCTCGGGGAGGCGTGCTTCATCGTGGACTGCTACATCGTGGAAGGGTTTCATCGAAGGCCGCTTCATTCTGGCGTCCCTCAGCGGAGGCGTGCTGAATCGTGGCGTGATATACGGAGGCGCTCTTCACCGAGGCGCGCGTAATCGTAGAGTGTGCCATCGGGGGGTACATCGGGAAGGCGTATTTTATTGTGGCGTGCTTCCTGAGGAATGCTTCGGAGGCGCACTTCATCGGGAAGCGGGAAGGCTTCATGGGGGCTTCATTGCGGCGTGCTTCCCCAGGGAAGCGTGCGTCACGGAAGGGTGCTTCATTGTGGCGTGCTTCATCTTAGTGAGCTTCACCGGCGCGTGCTTCATTGCGGCGTACTCCTTCGGGGAGTGCTACATAGCGGAGTGTTTCTTCGAGTGCTAACGTATACAGGGGTTTGGCCATCAGTGTGGCATTGGCGTGTATTCCATGGGCATCATTACGTTCTTCACCATAATGTTGCATAAATGTTGGCTCGTCGGGTGCTTCGTCGGGGCGTGCTTCATCCTGGAGCATTACACCGTGGAGTGGTTCATCGGGGAGCGCTTCTTCAAGCGATTCGTCGTGGAGCGCTTCATCGTGGCATGCTTCTCCTGGCGGGCCGCGCCGTCGAAGGCTTCGCGGGGGCGTGCTTCACCAAGCAGCGCTTCATCGGGGAACGTGCTTGGCGGAGCGCTTCATCGGGGAGTGCTCCATCACGGAACGCTTCCTCACAGAGTGCCTCATTGTGGCCTGCTGCACCGTGGCGCGCTTGATCGCGGAGGTTGGCGGCATGCGCGGTCACCCCGCTCGTGCCAGAGTCCGTCTTTTCCTGGGTGATGACGTTCTGTGAGTCATCATCTCTGTGGTCGCCGTGCCTCGTGCAGTCTTCGGGCCCGTACTGCCCGGCTGGAGGCTCTCCAGTCACCGGTGGCCGTCGCACCCGCGCGGCGGGGTGCAGACACAACAGGGTGTGTCGGACCATCGGGCAACGGTTGCGGCTGCACCGCGTGGTTGCGGCTCCCCGTCAGAGCCCAGCAACGCGACGGCCCTCTTCATCCGCAGTATTCTTACAACACGCCACCGACAACCAGAATCATCATCAGCATCATCATCAGCACCATCGCCATCATCAACATCAGTAGCATCACCATCATCAGCCGCGCCATCAGCATCATCATCACCACCATCATCATCACCATCATCATGATTAACATCATCATCATCATCATCATCATCATCATCATCATCATCATCATCATCATCATCATCATCATCATCATCATCATCATCATCATCATCATCATTATCATTATCATTATCATCATCAGCATCAGCATCATCATCAGCCGCCCCCCTTCCCTACTCCTCCTCCCGCATCCGTGCAGGCTCGATGCGCCCGGCTTCCGCACAGGAAAGTCGCCCGCGCACGCCCCAGCGGCGCCGCTGCGCCGCGCCGGAAGGCGGGGCGATGGCCGCCGCCGGAATCCCAGAGGGGCACCTTGCCGCCGCGGGCCGAGGCGGGCTCGCGGCGGAGCTGCCAAAAATCCCGGTGGCGGCCAGGGATTTCTTCGGCATGTTGCCCGCGGTGGCACAGGTTCGGGCCGGGCGAGAAGGGGAGAGGCAAGCTTTGGTGCATTCGCGCCACATCTGACATCCTGCATCTCCCACCCATCCCTTCCCACTGCGCTGTTTTCGCTCTATCCGCCCATGCGTGTCACAGCGGGCCCAAAAAACCAAAGAGGGCACCACCGTGTTATGCACAATCGGAAGAAAAACACATTGCGCACGATGGAGGAAGAGGTGGCGGATGAGCAGGAGGATGAGCAGGAGGAGAGAGAAAGAGACGCCGATTGAAGCATCGTCTGCATATACAAGCGACGACATGCTGGGCATGGGTCTGCCGCCCCCAAGAGGCACAAGGCGACGCTGGCTAGGCGAACGCCTCATGACTGGGCGGCTTACCCGAGATCTCCGGTGACCACGGAGCGCAAGGGGGAGCAGCGAGAGGCCGACGAGCCTCGCGAGCCCATCAGCCCAGGCCCCGAGCGCCAGCCAAAGCAGCGGCCAGCTCGCGGCGGAGCTAGTCCGTCCGGCCCCCACGTGGAGGCAGCAACGCCAGGCCGAGGGCGATGCCCAGCGAGAGGAGGCGGGCATCCCCCTCCAGGTCCGCCAAGAGCGCCACCGCAGCCGCTGCCCCCGCAGGCGCAGCCTCCGCGGCAGTCCGGGTCGAGGCCCGCTCCAGCCGCTCCAGCAGCCGCTTTTTGACGTTTCCTCCGCGACCGCGGCGGAGAAGCGTCCGCCCAAGAGTCGTCGAGCGGGTCGTCGTCGCCGACGTGCATGGCTGCAACCTCGGAGCCGACGAGCGCCAAGGGCGCGCAAGCCTCGATCGCCGCCCCTCGTTCCGCTCCAGACCACGCCGCCCAGCAAGAGGCGCTGGCGGTTCCGACGACGCCGCTCCCGCTTCGCCTCCGTGTAGGCACGCGTCGGAGCAGCAGCCACAGGTCGCAGTGCGGCACCGCGCGCCCGTCGGCAGAGGCGCGGCGCCTTCAGCGTCGGCGCAGCCGCGAAGGCCGCCGCGGATGCTGCAGAGCGCGCCACCGCTGCCGTGGGACGCCTCAGGCCACCGCCATCAACGGACGCGCGGGCCGCCGCCGCCACCAAGGGCGCGAGGTCAGCAGCGGCCGAGGAAGCCCCTTGTGGGCCCCGCCATGCCGTCGCCTCCGAGGGGAGGCGACGGGGAGGAGGGCCGTGCTAACGCTTGAGCGAACATGGCTTGAGCCAAAGCGGCTGCGAAGGATGAGCAGGAGGAAACGGAGGAGGAGGAGGAGTAGGAGGAGGAGGAGGAGAAGGAGGGTGAGGAACGAGGAGGAGGAAGAGGACGAACGGCAGCAACAGGAGCTGGAGCGGAAGGATCGGGAGGAGCAGGAGGACCAGGGAAAGGCAGAGGAGGGGAAATGAGGGGACGACACAATATGACACAAAAAAGAGAGAGAGAAATGTGAAACATACGAAAATACACATATGTCTCAATATAATCTGTTTTACTTGTTCATATATAACGGATCCAGAGAAGTGACCCGCGCTCGGGCGAGAGCGCCATTCTGTACGACGGGAGCAAATCGACGATCCGAAAATGAGGCCCCGCTGCAACGGGAGCGCACCACCGTTCTGAAATCAAAAACCAGAAACAGTCGGAGAGCAACAAACACAAGGAAAACCAGCGTTTGAAATCCGGTGCGAGAAAAATGCCGTACGCGGGGAGGGCCGGACAGAGTCAGGGGAGAGAAGAGAGCAGTATTTATCTTGTGTAAGCATCGAGAAAGAAGGAGGAGCAGGAGGAGGGGGAGGGCGGAGGAGAAGGAGGAGGAGAAAACAGGAGGAAGAGGAGGAGGAAGAGGACGAGGAGAGAGGAGGATCCTCCCGCCCCGCCCATCCGTCCCCGTTCTCTCGATCCAGACGAAGGGGGGAACACGAGGAAGGGGGGTACGAAGACTGCTACGTAGATCCAGTTCAGGCCCCGCCGCTGAGAGCTCTCCTCGATGCTTTGGCGCCCCTCGCACTAGGAAAGTCAGTTACGTGAGCTGATTCGCGAACGCCGTTCTACAGCAGTAAGAGCGCATAACACGGATGATCAACTTTCCAGAAGGTTCACGCTTCGCGCCAGCCCATTCGGAAATTTTGCCCATGAGAGTTGACGGGAAAAGGAACGAAGAGACACATATAGTGAAATTACCCCAGTGCGACCCTACCTAGAAGTTGGAGCCCCTAGGAAAGCAGCATTAGTTGCTATGCTATGCCATGCTATGTTGCGCTATGCTATGCTATGCTATGCTATGCTATGCTATGCTATGATGCGCTATGCTAAGCTATGCTATGCTGTGTCATGCTGCGCTGTGCTATGCTATGCTATGCTATGATTTGCCTTTCCTTTGCGTTGCTTTTGCTATGCTTTGCTTTGCTGTGCGTTGCTTGTGCTTTGCTTCGCTGTCGCTGCTGTTGCTTTGCCTTTGCTTTGCTGCTATGCTCTGCTATGATCTGCTGTGCTGCGCTATGCTATGCTATGCTATGCTGCGCTATGCTATGCTATGCTGGGCTATGCTATGATATGATGTGCTGCGTTATGCTATGCTGTGCTCTGCTCTGCTATGCTATGCTATGCTAAAGCTCAGCGAAGCTAAGATGAAGGTAAGCTGAGCTAAGGTACACCTGAGCTAATATGATGCTAAGTTAAGCTAATATGAAATAAGCTAAGCTAAGATGAGATAAGCAACGCTAAGCTAAGGGGACGTAACTGAGGGAACCGCGGGGCGGATGCCGGGGGAACCGCCCGGGGCGATTAGCACTTCCCGGCCCTTTAAGCACACAGGGTAAGAACCCTTCTAGGCAGAGCCTAGTTAGGGAACAAAGCGGGCAACCAGGGTGAACAGAGAGATCTCCAGGAGCAAAGGGGCGGCCTTGGAGAGCCTATTCGGGCCATCCCTGGGGCCCGGTGGGGGCGAGGGGAGGAGGAGGAGGAGGAGGAGGAGGAGGAGGAGGAAAACTACGACGAGGCGTTTGGCCCGAGGCACCGTGGAGGGACGCGCTCCCCCCGCCATTGCCGGGCAGCGCCCAGCGCGGCGCCATACGCCCGCGAGGAAGAGGTAGAGGTTCCTGTATTTGTTCATTCCGAACTCACTGCACCTGATTTAAAAGCTGTGATCATCAAGTACCCCTTGTACTTGATCATCTTTACCGACCTTTACACAAACCCCCGGGACATCGTTAACCGCGGGTGAACCTTCAAGGTTTGGTCATGCCCTGGAGTGGCCTGTAAATATTCAGGCACGGCACCAAGATGAATCAACTACGAGATCACCAGTTCCGTCCGAGACTTCCCAGTGTTCCTCGAGACCACAGAGACCGCAATCTTGAGGCAGCTGCCTACCGTACGTTGGCCTGCGCGGCCCGCAAGGGCAACTCCACAAAGACGGACTTGGTCACCCTCATACGACAAGTTTGGAGCACGGGCGGCGCCGCCGCCGGCAGCAAGTTCAAGCTCAACGAGTATTGCGCCGAGCTCGCATCAGTCAGTTTTCCCGACGTTCGCTGTTACGACGACAGCGAAGATTATGGCACCAGTCAGTACGAGCTCGGGCAATCCAGCCTCGTGCCCCCCCCCCCCAGCGCTGCCAGCCGCGGACTACCGGCGGCGCTGCGACGGCCACCAGCAGAGCTACGCGGGCCACGAGCAGAGCGACGCGGACCACCAGCAGAGCTACGACGGCCACGAGCAGATACGCCAGCCACCAGAAAAGCTACGCGGGCCGCAAAACGGACAACGCAGATTGCGAGCAGAGCTACAACGGCCACCAGCAAAGTTACGCAGACCACAAGCAGAGTTACTGCGGCCACCAGAAGAATCACGACGGCCACCGGCAGAGCGACGATTGCCACAAGCCTGACTACGACGGTCACCAGAAGAGCTAGAACGGCCACCAGCAGAGCAGAGCCACGCGGACCACAAGCAGAGATACGACGGCCACAAGCAGAGCTACGCGGACCGCCAGCAGCGCAACGAGGAGAACATGTTGAGCTGCGACTGCCACCAGCAGACCAACGAGGGCCACAAGCCGGACTACGACGGCCACCAGAAGAGCTACGCGGACCACCAGCAGTGCCATGAGGGCCACGAGCAGAGCTACAACGGCCACCAGCAGATCTACGCGGTCCACGAGCAGAGCAGAACGGACCACAAGCAAAGCTACGATGGCCACAAGCAGAGCTACGACGGCCACCAGCAGAGCTACGCGGACCTCCAGCTGAGCAACGCGGACCACAAGCAGAACTGCGACAGCTAC